AAAAAATAATTAAGGACATTTTTAGTGCATGCGATGCCATTTTAAACGTCATGTGTATAATATTATGCAAACATATAGGCACAAACTAACATTTGTGCTATGTGAAATCATTTAGTTAGTTCTAAGCAGGAAAAAAAGTCATATTTTTTTAAATGTCACGCCATGACGTATTATAAGCGTCGATCTATTTAAGGGGATATATTTTGTTCGTCTTTGTTGTATAGCTTGTGGTATAATATTGTTTCAAATAATAATAAGTAGAGATATTAATTTCCAAGCCTCCTAAGGTTGTGCAATACTACACCACCCATTGTCGTCCGGCGAAATGTTAGCGATTTTGGATTCTCGTCAGTAGACAAAAATGCGTCTAAAAAGTATATTTATATTTTATAACTTGTCAATGTCTGCGTGTGTTATACCACTGGTATGATATACCGTTTAATAATACAGTAAACATGTATTAAAGAATATTGACATTATTTCTTCTGCAGCGCTCGTGTTATATTGTCGTAAAATATAAAAAAGATACTTTTTTATGTATATATTTTTTCACTTTCCTCTTCTTCGCTTGATAAATTATTTTAATTTGAATTCAATGAATGATTTTTCAACGATTATCCAACAATGATTAGGTTTACATATTGGGTAGGTTAGGTTAGGTATTCGATATTTTTATCTATTTGAGAAATTCCTATCACCATTTGAAAAAATTAATTTTTCTATGAATAGTTATAATTGCATCGTCAGAGTATATTTTTATATAATTTTACTTAATTCATAAACCTAGTAGTATTATTTTCAAGGATTCGGACGTCTGTGAGTGTTCAGAAGGTTAGTGTGTAATCGTTGACTAAGTGTAGGGCGTTATGTCAGGTACCCAGGTAACTGTTTTATCTTGGCAGATATTTTCCACAGCCCGAATGATCATGATTTTAAGATGTTCTGACTGATTTATATATTTATAATTTTTAATTTCTAATACGTTTATCGTTTATTTTATTATTTATATTGTAGCGTGCATGTGTATAATGAGTTTATTAGGTGCGTATATTCAGTTAAAACGTGTCAACTGTCGTCACAGCTTCTTTTGTTCTCAAGTACCAGCCTACTTATTAAGTTCACAAAGAAATATTTAGTAACAGCAAAAAAATATGTTTAATTTATGAAGAGTAAAGGTATCGATTAATTAGATTCTCAAAAAAATTAAACCAATAATACCTTTTATAAAAAAAAATTGTTCAAAATATAAACATAGAAAATAAAAAAATGTTTACTCATTATTTTCTCCTTTACAAAACATTCTCGTCTTACATGAATGAGTAAATATCCACGATCAAATTAGGTACTAAACAAATCAAGCTCAAATGACCTATAGTAATTATTCCAAGGTAAAAAACATAACAGAGCTCAGGCAGGCTACGCCCTATTTTAAGTATTTTTTTTTTTTAAGTTGTAGTTTAGAATAAAGGCTTTATGATCAATAAAATCACTAATTTTATTTATTATAAATGTATTGATTCCTTGGACGGAACTACTGTGTTTTTAATCTGGATATCATGAAGTATAATTTTTTATTTGTAAATTGATTTCAACTATGGTATTAATCACAATTATTGGATAACTAATTTTAACTTTCCCTACCCAATGTTGGATATGATATTAGTAATGTTTTGCCCTGTCGGGCAAGGCTTGATGTTTTATTATACCGGTCGCCGAGATTATTTACCCGGCATCATATTCTTTTCTTCTCACACTTATTTTTCCTTCAATTTCCCCTTGTAATATAAACTGGAGAAGTTTGTGCCGTTGAATTCGTAATGACGTAACCCATGTATCCTAACTTTCAAGCTTTTATTGTTGTTAAAAGTTCTTCCACTTTTCCCATTCTTTCCAGTACTGTTTGATTTGTTATACGATCTGTCTATGAAATTTTTAGCGTTCGGTACAACAAGACACGTTTCAAAAGCTTCAATTTTCATGAATGTTAACTCTCTTATATAGTGTCCAGGTTTTAACTTCGTATAGTGAGCAAAAAAAACACACAACTTTTTAGAAATCTGATATTTTAACAATAGTTGTGACACTGGTTTTGAATACTTTCGACATTTAGTAAATGATTCTGTGGCTATTTGAATTCTGAATTTTATTTCCAGTGGATTATTACAGTCTGTATTTATTTTGTTTCGAGGTAACTATATTTTTGTACCTTTTATATTATACGTTTTTTTTTAATTATTAAATATTCTCTTAAGTCGTGGTTTTTTTTTTTATATTATCATAATTTAGAAACTTTTTCTTTGTATTAAGAACTCCAAAGTTCTCACTGGTTTCTACTCGGTCAACCGTTAGGTGTTATAAATTAATTATGTTACTTGTAAAAATCACCGCATAATCAGCATATATACAATTATTTAAACATTTAGCATTTCATTGCATTAATGACCTTTGAAATTCCTTAGAGGACTCCGTAAAATATGAACTTAGAGTATGTATACATATCATAAAGGTGGTAATAACAAATTGTCCAAATTATCCTATAACAAGTCTAACAGTTCTCCTGTACGTTTGAACGATGTTTGATTCTAATTTCAAATATAGATTACTTATTATTGTAAAACCTCCTTTACCCTTAATTCTGACTGTGTTTAATATTTATTAAGTTTTTATCGTATTTCACTTGGTTGAATACCTTTGGATTTTCAGTAATAAATACCACATGCATAGATATATCTAATCCTAATCATAACATCTATGTATCTTTAACGACTTACTGGCTGAACAAAAATTTTTTTGTGCTCATAGAATTTTGAAAATAAATTGTGTGTTGTTTATTTTTTTCTATAAATATTCTAAAATCTTCTGATATATAATTTTAAAAAAATAGACTTAGGAAATGACTCATAAGATTTATAGTTTTAAAATTACAACACACAGCAATTGGATTTTTAGTCAAGTTACAAAAAATATATTTAACCATATTTTGAGGTATTATACCAAAAATATATGTTCTATTAAATAATTAATGTCGGTTATTTGACATTATAACACATTATGTTATTATGATTACTACTCATGTTTTTTTCTACTAAACGGAATGTAAAATTATATCAGATTACCATCGCCGTATCTATTCAATTGCATTAGACTATAAATTAATATAAGACAAGTATGCAATCAACATAAAAATACATTGTTTTTAAACATTTTTGCAATGAAAATCTAGTATTTATCGCCTAATGAAAAAATATCTACGATCCTTTTTTTTCATGATCATAATTTTTTACCAAAAAACAATAATGTATAGGTCTGGTTACAAATCAAAATTATACTTGTGAAAACGAACATTTTAGAAGTATCTAGGTAATAAACTTCTGTCGAAAAAAAAATTAAAAACACTCTCGATGGTAGCTGTTTCTATGTGCTTTATAAAATTATTGTTGGGCAAAGGCAATTATCTGAAACTATTGTATCATACATAATATAAACATTCATATAATTGTATCTTCTTTACAAAATAATGTTATTAGTATGAATAACAATAATTAGGTAGTTATTGTTTGCAGTTATATATTTCCAAGTAAATTCATGCACCAATAAAGGTTTTTATTTTTTTAAATTTTTATTTTTCACTCAGGATTTTATTTTTAGGTTTCGGTTTTTGTTTTTAATTCTGTATTTAAACGGTTTTATAGAGTATACGTAGTATTAACCTGTTGTTGTATTAGTTGTGGCGTTAACAGAGTTATGTTTATTGACGAATAATCGGTCATTCAGTGGACTATTAATTGTATTTTAATTCGATAACCATTTAACCCATATGTATAATAGACGTACTATAGAATTTGCTTAGATTTTTGTTCGGCTTGAAGTTTATAGAGCGAGTAATTATATACGAATTCTACGACTGCTATTGCTAATACTGGGCATAATATATTATATTATAGAAGTACAAAAGTATACAACAACAATCCGACCCCGAGCATAGTGCACTTGATATGTGCTGGCATGTGTGTCTCGCCGATGAGGTGGGTACGTGAACTCATTAATGTATTTGAAATTAGTTCTAATACGGACGTGGCGGTGAAAGTTTGTTCAAAAGCGGTGGCATGCGAAACACACGACACAAACGTGCATTGCAATTGGTCGCAAAATACAATATTATATTCTCGAAAATATTGGAATGGTCAACAAATAACATACACGGCGTGGATATGTTTAAAATATGGACATGCGCTGCGGGGAGTCCAGATGTGTTTTTTATTCGAGGGTGAAAACTTTTTTTTGTAAACGCGATTTCCGAAAACTATTACCACGAGCGTATTAGGTATAATAGCTAGGTACTTATTACACCTTAATAGTGGCCTGCTGCACGATAACTTTGCTACTGACATGTTTTTTGTTATGAAAAACGTAGGCACTTGATTATACCTACCCCGAAGTATCGCTTCGTGTACCTCTATGTTTTTTAAACAATTTTTAAATAGGCGGGTCACGTTTAAGCCGAAGTCACTGGTAACCGGGTAAAAATCCATTACCTATTTTAAAAACGATTACTAATCGGCAAACGTCGATTATCATGTAGTAATTTTTACTTCAGCCATATTTGCTTTAGTCCACTGCTAGTGAAATAATTGATACATATTTAAGTGTACAAATATACGCGAGTGTATTATATATGCCCTGTTACAATGTAAATACATTAACACACACACTTTACTCATATATATATGTATATAAATAGGTACACAGCTAGATAAAACATATGTAGAGCGATCCTTTTATTGTGAACTTTCGGAACTTTTGAATTTCGAATATTTTATTTTAATGTTCGACAACATACTGTTTTACATATTATGTTCAGTATTTGTTCTTAAAATTTAAAATGCACAAATATTTTCTGAATGATTTCTTCTTCTACGATAAAAGAACCACCCTGTATGTACTAGTTTAGTGTACAATAGTATACCTATACGAAAAATCGATGATATTGTGTTTGTTACCTTTGCGCTGTGTGAAGTTACACGGATGGTCGAACAAAAAATTACGGAAGGAGTTGCATTCGTAATCGATTTTGGGCTCTCGGCACAGGCACGTCGGCTTGAAGAACGGGAACGCTTGAAGGGTTTTCAAAGCAGCCCGACACTTTATCACCGTAGTCGTCGAACACGAGACTGAAAATCCAACACACGTGTTTTATAAAAAAAATTTTAAATTTAAAAAAAAATGTTTGAGAAAACTCGTGTAAATAAAAATGAAACTTTACATCATAATGTTATATTACAGCATGCAGTATATTGTGCTATTGAAATATTACAACGTAATTGTAATCCTTTGTATTGCATATACAGAGTGCAACTGGAAAATATGTCATATTAAGTGTGATAATGTCAGTGTGATATTATCAAATTATCCAGATACGCCCTGTACAATACATTCATTCAGTATAATATGCTTTATGTTGACTTATTAATTTTCAGTTATTATATATTTTTTAACTGTTATACTAGTTAATGAGAACTTTATCAATAATCAGACATTTTTAAGTATTTTTTTTTTTTTTTTAAATTAAACCCAATAAGTTTTTAGTTTCATAGTAAATTGTTATTATAATTTTTCGCGTCGACAACTTATTTATCAAATTATCAATTTTTGTATTCCATTATTATTTTAAAGATACTCAGTGTATTATTCACGTAAACAAATTAATGCAAAAATATTCTGTAGTGACGTGTGGGATATTTATATTCAAAATGTTTAAACAATGCTTAGATCAATTTCTACTAAAAAGTTGAATATTTTCGAAACACAGAAATAATCACTGGAATGTTTAAGGGAAGATTAAGGATCAGTGTATTGGGCAGGGGACTATTTATCGCTTCACAGATAAAACTTACAACTTAAAAATGTTTAGCTAAACTCCATTCATGTTAAAAAGGAAAAGATCATTGTCCATTTTCGTCGAGCGGGGGTAGGCAACGCCCGTTTGTCCCCCACACCGAGTCAACCAACTGTGTAGTTAAGCCACGCCACTGCGCAAAAACCGCCTCCGACGTTCCTCCTTAACTTGTAAGGAGTTATTATAAGTATACTGTGACAATTGTTTTTAATGGGATTAAAATTAAATATTAATTCCATTTAAATATGTGAAAAATATATATTAGATATATTGTTATAAAAAATCTTTTCTTTTAATACAACATCAAACACAATATTTTTAATGCACCCAAAAAGTACAAATTATAAAGATAGACTAAAATTATTTTATTTTATCAATAATATATGATAATGTTGAACAGAAATAATAAACAATTATTGTTTTTCATATGACAATGAAATAAATTATATCGATCAGTTAACTTTTGTTCTATCTCAAACTTAAGCGCTTTGGACTTATATTATTATAATTATGTCTACTGACGTAAATAGATAATTATATAATACCTTACATGTCTCATAACAGTAGTATCCGTGCATGTTGAAGTAAGCTGATTATTGTATAACTATATAATAATCCAACTACACCCATAATTCATTAACATTATTATTTCTTTAATGATTAACATTTTAGTGTGGCTTGGTGAGGCGCGGTCGTAGGCTCAATCTGCGGCAACGTTCTGAGCGTACGTACCGGCCGTCATTGCTAGCACTCGGATGGGTGACCATCCGGGTTTTTAGCAACATATCCTTGCCACACATACAAACGTGTTCCAACCAACCGTCCCTCTCCCCCCACACAGTACCGGGATAATGACCTAAGTAGTTGAAGAATTAATCCAAACAAAAACATTTTACTATAATTTAAACATATTTTAATAGATATCATGTATTATAAACGTTTGCCAGTCGTACAATTTCATTGACTTGGCTTCACAATAAAAAATAATGATAATAAATAATAATAATATAGTGCCGTGCATTAAAAATATTATTGTTGTCATCGTTTGTATGATGTAGCTACCTAGCTATATGGCTAGGTATATATTATGGTATAATTACATACTTACCTGCATTATTATACAATATGACATTCCGTACGTACACACAATATACAAATAATTTAACATATTATATGCACACAACACGTAAACAGTATTTCGATATTGTTATAATACTCACGCATGTACATGTATTTATTATGGAGTAAAAAATGAAAAAAAAACCAATTCGCGGTAGATCGGGTGTGCGATATAATATATACCTACTTTGTAATGGGGCTTATAATATATATATATATATATATATGCTTGTATGTGTGTATAATAAATGTGCATGGAGAGGGTGTGTGGGCGGGAAGAGAGAAAGGGAGAACCGATAGGTGTGTGCTAGCGTATTATAATATATTATACCGTCGTCGACGGTATGAGCGATTTTTTTTGATTTTTTTCACACTCACTCGTTTTAGTTTTCCCAAAACTCTGTGTGTTATAATGTGCGTATATATAATTTTACCTACACGTATAGTGTACCCATATAATATAGTGTACGGTTAGTGTCGATTCTTTATTTTATTTTTACCAACATGTACACAACGCGTAATATAATGCTGTACGGGTTTTTGATAAAACCGTATATTCTACTTTTTATTAGTATCATAACATACATACAAGGAAGGTAGCCGTATCGCAAATATACGGATAAGTGTATAAACATACCGACGGTGAAGACGTAGGTACGCAGGTACACTTCTTTTGTGATTATTCGACAGAGCAAAAGAAGCATAATATCTGAAGGGGAAAAAACCACCGATATTTATGCGGGAAAAATGCTATGCTGATAGTATCATGATAAACCTATATTTAATAACTATGAATAAATTATAATTTCTAATTAAGTAAAGAGAATATTATTTCGAACGAGTTTTTTTAAAGGGTTCAGTATTACACATTTCAATGCAATTGCAATGTTATTTAAATATTGATCAATAAAAGTTTTTTGCAGGTCATTGCCGCTGCTGTTATTGGTAGTTTCATAAAACTAAGAAATTTTAATAGTATAGAAAACAATTTAAAACGTGTAAATACAGATCGGCTATTAATTTTTCTTGTATAAGTTTTGAAATATAAAACGCTATTTTATATTGAAAGAGGAAATAATTATTTGTTTATACGTGCATTTAGTGTTTATTTTTCAACTTACGGTAGGCAGGTTCAAACATAATATATTCAACAATTTTAAATAACCATGTCATTATTTATTTTATTAATATTAATAGTTCAAATCGTGTAACTTTGTTCTCTTAGTTTTCACGCTAGCAATTTGGTGATGATACGTCATCGTCATTGTTTATTTATTTTTAAAGATTTTCATCGATATTGATAGGTATTTTTGTGTAATTAATAAATCGGGTGATTAGTTTTGTGACATATTTATATTCAAATCAATAAAGTTTAACTTTCATACCATGAATATCGAAATTTATGGATAAGTATATTCGAGGTTGTTGTGAATAAAGCTCCCTTAAATGTGTGTGATATTGTAATCTATAGACTGCTTTGGTTGGACATATAAATTGTTGACTAATGGATGGCTATACCTAGTTGGTTCACATATATTTAATACAATTATTGTGTAAGGTACAATGCAACTGCGCTATAGGTACCTAAATTAGTATTCTGAGCGTGTGCAAACCTTTGGTTAACAATATTTGATAAAATAACAGTATGGGACCACTTAAAGCAGCACTTCACACTTTTTCTGGTGTTTCGTTTTTTCTGCCCTAACTGCCGTCGACAACGTTTCGTCTTGACAACAAATATATATGTTTCATGCACAAAGTGAAATTGTTCATTTCATACAACGAAAATGAAAAACATTTTTTACATTTTATTAAATTGGAAAAAAAATTACACGTGAATATAGTTTTTTTATGAAGTGGGCATTGTAGTAATTGTTCTCATAATTTGGCCATCCATTTTGCGAATTAAAATGGTTATATTTTTTCTGTTGAAAAATAATTAAAATATCGCTATATTATTTTTATACACGCGTTGTTATAATTATTTTATTTTTATCGCCTAAACAATCACGAAAAGTGATCGGTCGTGATCTAAAAACGTAGGTATAACGCATTTTACTAGGTATGAAAAAAATAAAAACTCGACTTTAGTGGAAAAATAAATTAGTGTCGGTTGAAGTGTCAAATATTTTTCATATACGAACACGTTATACACTGAATTAGTTTATTTCTTTGTTACTATACACGACTAAAAAAATTATGTTTTACTTTATATTTTTAATCTCCGCTTTTTTATGTCTTATTTATTTATTTTAATTGTTATGTTTATTGTGTACACATATTTTTAATTATACTTCATTTCAAAGAATTGTAATTCACATTAATTACTATTTAGTACAATATTATAAAGTATTTATCTACAACGTAATATAACATTAATTTTATAAAAGATTTATATTGTTTAATCATAAACTATATTTTGGTGACCTAATTCGTGCTTAACGAAATTAAATCGTATGTTATCATTTCACGTGTACTTGCAAATAACTGTTTGCATATTCCAAATGAAATATTTACCTATTTCGTTTCCGCATAAACTTGGAATGAGGTTTATAATTTTAAAACATGATGGATCTTCGTTGCATAAAGATCTCGCCAACAAACAATTCAGACTTCCCGTTGGCGTTTTATCTTCTGCAAAAAAAAAAAGTTATATTAATGACAATAAATACAATTAGAATATGCTATTAATTAATTATATGAGATTAGTGTAATCAGTTTGAACTCCAATTCTCATTAGTTTAATGAGCGAGAAATGGTTTGTCTTTGTAAAATAAACACAATATAAAACGCACTTAACTAGATTGTTATTATTTATTAGACATAATATAGTTAAATAAAAATAAAAAATATGCAAGAAATTCCTTGGAAATATAATTGTGTCTTTCACAACAAGATTCCCATTTTCACTCCTCAGTTTTCAATATATTTTATATTTAGGTTATTATGGAGCAAAACTCATACTTGTTTTTTACAATCTAATAATGAAAATTATTTTTAAACAATCGTATCATATTTTAATTTTTATCAATCGCAGTTATTGTACCATTCGCGTCAAACATTCAGATAGAAGTTATCACTGAAAAATGATTTTTTAAGTAATTATTTAAATAATATACGCTTTTAGCACTTCTATTGAACAATGAACTTTTCTCAGTTGTCAATTACATATTATATTTTAATCAATTTGTGTATTTATATAGTGTTTAAATTCTAATTATATTTATTTCACTATCTTTAACGACTATCGAATAGTTGCATATGTGTATCACTATGAAAACAATTTAATTTAATAAACAAGTACCTATTTATTTATTCATTTGCTTATTTTTTATTTATTTTTTTTTTTTTTTGTACTTATTTATTTCATTTTAGAATTTAGAATGGTACGTAATTATAAAAGTAAAAACTACTACAAGACTAAACAAAAAGTATTTTTTATTTTCAAATATGATCCATTCTTAATCAATTGTATGTTTAAAAACAATTTTAAATTAAACATTAAGTCATTATTTAAGTACAAATATATGGATATATTGACTAAAAATATCAAATAGATTACACTTAATACTTCAGATAAGAATTGAAATAATTGAGCGCATAATAATTCGTTTCGTGAAGTTGTGACTTATTTATAAAAACATGGTGTTCCCTCGCTGCAAATGCTAATAAGTTATTAGTAATAACTGCTTGCTGCACAACTCTATTCTACTGATAATCAAGAGTTTTCTGTATTTTTTTTTCTTAGTTTTTCAGGCATTATAATAATTGGTTTCATTTTTCATATTTTTCTATTTATTACAATATTTTTGTATCATCGTAACAAATCCTAAATGGTAAAAAATATGATGAAATTTGTAATAATACAACAAATTTTTAATCACCAAATTATGAGTTATACAGTAACTATCAACAACAACTCAAATTTAAAATATTAAGTTATTCAATAAAAAATTATTCAAAAATATAATTAAGTACAAGATTAAAAAAATTGTCATATACCATATATTGTGTCTACAGCCACTTTTAAATTTTCATTATTTATAAACGTAATTATTTTGCACTTAAACCAATATTATGAGTGTACATTTTCGGCAATTTTTGAGTTCTAAATATTTGACTAGTTAAATAAATCCAGGCTCTGAGTCGATACCTAATTACAGATCATATTTTGTTCATCCCCAATTTCTGTCGTTAACGCACGTGTTCAAAATAATGTATGGGTAGTGAAAAAGTTCTTAAATTTGATTCAAGAAACAAAATTGGTAGATTTATTTTACTTGTAAACTTTCAAGTAAAAAAAAACATTACTCATGTCTTATATTTACGTATTACGTATTCCTAATACATGGAGATTATTGAAATGATGAACCCCCGTTTCCTTGAAAATAATGAACATTTTTAGCAGAAGAATTTTTTTACATAATTTGAAATCATTGTGAAAAAACAATTTTTTTTAACAATTTATTTCATTGATAAATCGTTATATTTTTTTTACTTTATACCATTTTCAATATACCTACATTTTTAATTTCATATACCAAAGCAAAATATTTTCCTCATAATAAATTCTAATAAATTCTAAAGTGTACAATTCGAACAATTTGTTATGTATAGTCAACTAGTTATAAGTATTTTAAGTTTCAATGAGCAGAGCAGGTAGTGGACCAAAATGTTGTAGTGTACAACTTTGGCACACTACACTTCATATCTAAAATTGGAATATTTATCTATTGATTAGGTACATGATTGAAATTTGATTTTAGTATATTTTAAATACTAGGAAAAAAATATTCAGAATAATATATTAAAAACATTCGCTGTTTTCGTAAAACAAAAACACTTTATAAAATGATAAAGATAAGAATAATAAATATATTTTAAAAAAAATTCCGTTTTGTTATAACTTATAAGTAACTAAGTAAGTACTCAATTGATGTAAAAACAAATATTTCCAAAAACGTTAGTGGATACTTCTCGAGAATATGAGTATTTGCCTCGAATCACCTTGTATATTGTTATTGTGTATTATAATATTATCCTCACGGGTCGAATATTTTGTTTTGAATTGTTTTTTCCTTTTTCTTTTTTTTTTTTAACGAAGACAAATCGTGGGCGTTTAACAACAATAACAACAACGACGAAGACGACGACGACGATGAAAAAAAAACGTACTTTGTTCTCCGTTTCTATATTATTATGCGCGTGACACTAATAGCTTAGATGGCCACTGTAATGTCGGACAGTCGTGTGCGTACCTACCCACCTACTCGGGATAAATGTACCTACCAGCCATAAAAGCATCGCGAAAAATCGGTAAAATTCGCTCGGGGTATATGCATTCAGAATATACATAAAATATATAGGAACGTTTATATGTATTTTATGTATGTATGTATGTATGTATGTATGTATGCATGCATAATTCATAAACAAACGTCTTCGCCAACTCGCTTTTGCCTGTATACCTCCTGTACATAGATCGATAGAGCGTTTTTCTTTATGGCCATTCGGGTCATCCTATGTAATTTTCCCGTACCTGCAGCAGTGCTATATAAATCGTTGCAGTCTTTGTAACAGTAATAATAATAATAATAATAATAATAACAACAATAATAATAATAATAATAATAATATACGATCAACGTTCGTGTAATACGCAACGCGCGGTGCGCATAATTTATCTCAAAACCAATTTACGGACACTAATTTTATTTTCCGCTGCAGGTACCTATTTGGATTCAAAACACATCAATTCCTCTTAAACACATTACAATTTAGATGTAAGATACGGTATTATTTTCGCAACTCATAAATATCATAAAAAATCTCAGAAAATGTTGTCTTTAACTCGATGAATTTAAAATGTAATTTTTATTTTCTCAGACTAGCTACCTAAATACGTTTGTTTTGATTAAATTGTACGGCAAAGTTATGAGCTATTAATAATGTAGGTAGCTACCCATCGTTGTTGTTGAAAGAAATCTCTACTAGCTTCTTTCGAGTTGTTTGGTTTTCATACGGTCTTGAATTTCAATTAGGATGAATTTATTTAATCTATTTTTTTTTTTAAATTGATTAATTTGTAACTTTCCTCTGTAAAATAAATGGTTATGTTTTAGCCAAACTGTCGAGTGGTGAGTTTATGGTTGCGCGACCGCTAATTAAACTTTTTTCGTTGATTACTTTACTCCGATAAAAAAAAAATAGTAAACAGTAATAGGCATTTAAAAGATCGTTTATAGGCTGAGTGTTACTTTTTTTTCGCTGTGTACAACCTATAATAATAGCTGGATCGCATTGTGCCGACCTACAATGCCTACAACAATCTTGTACAGTACTTATTTTAAGTTATTACAACCGGCAGCCATATAATAGTAATAATGTACACCTTAAGGCTTATCAACAAATCCCGGGAACTTAGATTTATCGTATTGACTTGTGCGTCGCAATCTAAAGAGGGTCATATAATAGTAGATTTGGCCCACATTTTGGATCATCTCCAATTTTTCAAAAGCCTTCGCTACTCGCAGCGACTGCCAAACTACCATCGGTCTCCATTGCGTCCGAATCAAGGCTGTGTTACCGATCTGTATTAAGGGGATGGGGTGCAAATATTACAGACGAATGTGTATAGTGATGTAGCATTTAATACATTTTACAACACTCTTGGACAAAAATAATAACGACAAAACTCATCGTGGCCGACCCAACATAAATATTATCAATATTATTTATTGAAATTCTATTATAATAATAAAATTATACAACGCCTAAACTTTTCAATTATTATAAATAATAATAATAATATATTATAATACATTATACACGTAGGTACTTATAAAAGTGCACATATTCAATTTTCGCTTATGTTAGATTGATTAAAGTAAATTTTAACCTCAGAGATTAGTAAGTTATAAAAGAGGTTTACGTAGTATTAAGTATCAAAGATTTGCATAATAATTAGATCGTGTTCGAGAATGAGTGCACAGTCGCACCACTTCATCCCCATTAATTACACACAGGCTGATATTTCGATCACTAAGAAAATTAAGATTGGTAAATGTGTGTATTGAAAACATTTGTTTGTTTGTCTTAACTATTTTTATTCACTGCAACTAACATATTTTTCAATAAAAAATAGATATCATTTTAGCTCTTAGTTGTCTAACTTTTTTAAATTACAATTTACATTTTAAATTAAATACTTTCTTTCTGAAAATTTCAATCTACAAAAATCGAATAACAAACCAATATGAATAAGCCCCAATAGGTAGTTAGGAGGACGTATCGCATGCTTCATATAAATATTAATTTAAAAGTTAAACTAAATGTTTTTATTTTTTAGTTTTTTAAATCACTTGATTTTTTGTTTTGTATATTTTATTGAAAATAAAATATGTTAATTATCCAATATGTAAACTGTTTTAAATATTGTGTAACATATTTTTCTTTAAACCAGATATTATTCAAGAAATCACTGATTTCCGTGATACTACAATTTTAAAACAGTCTATTATAATATTTGTTATTAGTTATAAGTTATAAGTTATAATGATTTAAATCTTAGATGACCGAATTCAAGTGCTGACAACCAACTGATATAAGAGAACTTTGTAAATTGTCAGTGCACT